GGTCCCGGGGCAGTGGCAGTTCTTATGGCCAGGAAAGCAAAGTGGCTGTTCCATAGGAAGTTCTTCACTGACCTCTCTGTGCCCAGCACCACTGGCAGGTCTTTGAGTGTTTCCTTTGGCAGCTGCACCTCAATTTGCTTCAGGGCTGTCACTGAGAACAGGGCGACCTGTTTGCTGCACAGATGCCAGCACCCTGCTCTGTCTGCTTTGGCTCAGGACGAGTCTTTCTGGGAAACCCTTGTGCACCTCTACTGCCATAAACATTGTGCTCTTTATAGAAGCCCCTTGTTAAGGTGGTAATTCCCTTCTCTTTTTTACAGCCTCCCCAAAGCAGCCAATACTCTGGCCAGGTGAGACTTTTCCTGAAATGCAATGAGCTTTTCTCCAGGGTCCTGCCTTGCAAATGGGGTTTGGGGTTTGGCTGGGGTTTTTGCTTCTTGGTGGCGTTGAGTGGTCCTTGGTTCTGGTTTGTGCCACTGAGTTTCCATGAAGGAAAAGGGACCAAGCATCTTGTTTATACTGGAACATACACTGTATGTACAGAGGAACTGTTAGTGGGAATGGGCTGTTCTGTTGCAGCTCTGCTGACACTACAGCTTTGCTCACAGCTGGGTTCTTGTCTGTCTTACAAGTCCGGCCTCAAAGTGTTTCCTACAGCCTGGTAAGTACCTGCTGGTCACCAGGCAGAGCACAGCGCTGTACCAAGTGAGTGCCACGGCACTGCCAGAGCACTGAGCAAGAGCTCACAGTTCCAAATCCAAAGAACATTTTCTATTCTAGAAGATTGCCCATTAGGGAAACCAGCTTCGTTTACAAAGGAATTCTTGCCTTTCTTACAGGGATATCAGCCTCAAGGTAGCAGTTCCTATGGCCTAGTAAGCGTATCAGTCAGTGTACAGAAGATATGTGATGTTCTTTTATGTGTATTGAGAATTTTATGGGGTTTTTCTTGAAATAACACAGTAAGTTCTCATTAGAAGTTGTGAACTTTATTTATGTGGGTCTAGTAACTATAAGCTCATTGATACAGGTCCTTCCCACTTAGGGAAGTACTTCATAATAAAATACTCAGTAGGATGTCCCTGGTCTTCTACCTTTTAAGCAGTCAGGCGGCTAAAGTGCTTTACAGATTTTTCCTGTATTTGAGATGAAGAAAAGGAATATTTGGGTTACTGAGTTGCTTATTTTATCCTTCTCTTTTCTTTCCCTCTTCTCCAACAGGGTGGATCTGGTTATTCAGGTGGCAGCAATGGTTGTGGACAAGTAAGTCCTCTTTCTCCACACTATCTGAAAACTAGACCCAGCTTTCTTTGTAGTAGTAACATCTTTTTCAATAAGTTATCTAATGTTTGTAAGTTGGCATCTTTTGGTTTCATTCTTACATTGAATCTTCTAGCACAGAGATCAAGAAGCACTGATACTGTTTGTCATTGTAACCAAAATGAAGTGGCTTCTCCCATGTAGTGTTACACACAAAAGATGGACAAGTAGTGATTCATGTATGTACTCAGCAAACAGGCAAAAACTTTGCTTGGGAATGATTTTTGGATGTTGGCCCATTTAGTTCCTGCAGAAAATGATAGGATTAGAGAGTGGCTTCTATGGATGAAGAATTGGATTAGTAGTTTTCATCCTGGTTCCATTTCAACTTCTATATGCCTACAACAGCATAAAGACAGTGCCTTCAATGCTGGGGCAATGGTTGGACTTGATGATTTTAAAGGGTTTTTTCCAACCCAGCTGCTTCTATGATTACTGGGCAGCAGCCTTGCCTAAGATCTATGATGGGTAGATGGTCACACAGCTGTAACTGTTGATTCCTAAATGGACTGTCAAAACCAAACCAAGAAAGCATTTTGCCTTTAGCAATCAAGAGGAACTAGGATGATACAGAGAGACTGTGTCATAAAACTGCCAGCCTAACTCACTTTCCACATGGCACACAGCAGTCCTGCTTTGATCACCTGTGTTCATGTTTGTGAGTATATGGGTAAGGGAGTGAGAGAGGGTAAAGCCACAGACTTAAGGGGTTAATTACAATTAAACTCAGCCTCTGTGAAGTTTTGTGTAGAGTTTCATTCCATTAATTGTCCCGTGGAAGCTCTATGAAAGCTGACTACTCTGCATGAAAATGAAAACTGGGGCATTCACCTTTTGGCTTGTTTGTTTTTAACAGGGTGTCTCCTATGACAGCAATCCCTGCAACCAGGTAAATGCTCTTCCCTCTCCGATTTTAAGATGCATTCAAAATTAGGTTTGCCACTAACTCAATTAGAACCAGCTTCTGATTCATAGACTGTAAATCCATGTAATCATACCTATTATTACAATCCTCCTATACACAGGAATATCACATGGGCTTGGGAGCTATTCTCCCCTTTTTCCTAGCATTATGTCTGTGAAATGTCTCTAGAGGATACTAAGGCCAGATTCTGGAAAGCTGGATCTCTTGGTGGTGGAACTCTACAAACCACTATCCTAAAAGATGTCTACTATGTTTAAAGAAATAATCTCTGTAAATGTTAGAAATTAGTAAGAAAACAGCAATAGATGATTTCTTTTTATTTTTAGTCACACTTCTCTTGATTCTTACTGATTTTTCACAAGAAATAGAAAAATCAGATAGAATCATTGTATTATCAATATAAATATATTGATAAATATACAAACAACATAGATGTTGCTATAACATATTATTATGTGGTATAGTATATCTAGTATATACAATACGCTGTATGTAACTTGAAAGAATCATATATGATGTAGGTACATAATTATATTATTTTATAATAGCTATTTTTTTAATAAAGAGGAATTATTTCTTTCCAAAACTAAAGGAAACACTCAAATTCTGCACTCAAACCTGCTAGAACGCTGACAGACAATACTTTTGATTTCATTTTCCTTTGCCTCTTCTGGATGAGCTCTCAGCCCCATTTGAGTGAATGGCAAATATCATCTCAGTAGCTCAGGATTTCACTGTTCTTACACATTTTTGACACTAATGCTTCTACGAACGTCTCTTTTGATTTCACTTGGAGAATTTACATCCCCCTTCTAAAGAGGGCATGTTGAAACATGCCAAGTGGTTTATTTAAAACCTTTTCCTCCCAGCTCCCAGCTTTCTGTGTAATAATGCTACCAGGGGAGTTTTTCATTCCCTTTGTAGAGCTTATGTTTTCTACAGGAGAAAAAAAAGCTACATTCTCTAGAGACTGTTCAGAATGAAACTCGTCTGTGCACTAGGCATTACTTAAAGCTAAAAGTCTGTAGTTCCTTGGCATAGGCATTGTGTAGCATTTACCTTTGCACTGTTGGTGATCTATGCTCACTGCATTAGACATCGTATCTGTATCACACACCTGCCCCTGCTCCTTACTCTTTCTAAGAAAGAATCATAGCTTTCATTAAAAATAAGCCACAGTCAAACAGGAAGCATCAAAAACATGCCTGTTTTTGTCTCATTTACAGGATGGATCACAGGGTGGTCAGGTAGGCAGCTCTTTATGACCCATTGGTAAAAACCTTTTAGGCAGTTCTAATCCAGAGTACAGTTTCTTTGCTCATGAGGGTATAGACTCTTGCAGAGGCTTCCCAGCTCCAACCTGCATCTCCCTCTCTTCAAAAGGAGGGTTTTTTCAGCCCAGAAATCTCACTTACATAGAAAGAATTCAGCAACCTAATAAAGCTACTGGTCAAATTCAGCTCTGCAGCGTTACCTGTTGCTGTTTTGTGTTCACAGGGTGGATCATACTCCTTACAAACCTATGATGGTGGCCAAGTAAGTACTAGATTATTATGTCCCCCCACTGAGGTTTTGTTTTCACGGCTTCCACCAGGGATTATCAATGTCTGATTTACAGCATTGTAATATTAATTCTGTTTGGTTTTGTTGGTAGAGTGGATCACCATCCTCACAAAGTTATGGTGGCAACCAGGTAGGTAGACCTTGATTTTTCTCCTGGTAAGAATTTTTACCGTATCTGATAAGCTATATAGAGATCCAGAAAGTTGTATTTGCTCAAAGGAATCCGGGGTAATTGTTTTTAACAGCCCCCCAAACAAAATCACAGTTTCTTCTGAAACAGGGTTTATATTGGTTTGTTTTTGCAGGGTGGATCCTACTCGCAAGGCTATGCAGGTGGCCAAGTAAGTGATGCTCTATTTCCCTCCTTGTTCATCGCTTCATACAAGCTTTAGCCTCTGCTCAAAGTCAGGTTTCCCATATTCAAATTTCTTCTGATTTTGGTTTGTCTGTTTTAAAGGGAGGATCAGACACCTATTACGATAATCAGGTAACAAGTTCGTTCTGTCCTCTAGACACATATTATTTTGTGCTAATCTTTGTAGCCCCTGCATCATCTTTCTCAAAGATGTACTAAAACATAACAGTTTCTGTGCTCTTTTTGTTTTGGATTGGCTTTGTTGTTTTCTTTAGTGGAGAATCTAACATTCCCTGTAAGCAACTGTTGTATTTGGCTCCTTATTTTCCTTATAAAGGACTTAATTAAATTCAGCTTTTTCTCTACACAAGCCTTAATTCTGCCTTGCAGAGTACAAAGGTTATTTTTAACAATCCTTTTTTGTGAAGGAATAACTGGTATCTAATGTCCTTCTAGGATTCACAAAGTTACTCGGACGATAACGCTTGTGACGATGTGAGTATGCTTCCTCTAGTATATGTTCATCAGAGTATTTTTCATGTAGATGAGAAAACACTGCACTGGTGGGATTTCAAACTGATTTAAACAAGGCTGTGGGGGATATGAGCACCAAAGTATTATTTCTTTTTTATGTCTGCAAGCAATAGCAGAAACAGTGAGGTTTCTATAAGCTTCCTGTATTTAAATAACTCTTAAAGACGGAAATCATTTATTCTTTTCCAGAGTGACACCACCTATAGTGCCAATGTTCAGGTAAGTGCATTTTTCTTCTGCAGTATTCAAATTCTTATGATTAATGACAGTGTCAGTAATGGAGCACTTCAACATCAGTCCTGTGGGCCTCTAATTGTATAGTGAGATTACTTCATAGTACCCTTCAAAAAGGTATTTAAAGAAGATGATCCAGTTCTCTGTACTCAGCCCCTTCAAGCCCTTCTCAGGGCTGCTGGGCAATTACTTAAAACTGCAGAGTAGTAACACAGGTTTTCTGTAGTATTTGCAGTTGACTGGATGGTTATTTGGGAATTAAGTGTCTGTGTACGTGAGGCATGTGGCTACCTCAAGCTTTTTCCACTTGTCCTCATTTAAACTTGTAAAGTAACATCTATCACCTGGGAATACTCTCTGTGTCAAGACTTCCCATCTGTCCTACAAGCAGAAACGGTGATTAACATGGATAGACCGTGACCAAGCAAATAGACTGCTGTGTAAATGGATTACATCTTTCCCCAATTCTTTCTGCTCACACTTTCAACGTTTCAGCCTCCTTTTGTTCTACTGCCCTCTAGAGTACCCTTCTGTCGTCAGCCTCTTCCCTTCAGTTGCTAGCCAAATACTTCACTGCTTCATTATCTTCCCTATTTTTCCTCTCTAGTACTTTAGTACTGCCCCCAAAACGTACACTAGGGAGTAAGGAGGCCTTCTGAAAACCTCTTTTTCTTGTATTTGCCCTGAATGCGTTGCATCAGGTTTAAGGTTCTGCAAACAAAACTCTTTCATCCCTGTTTGAGTCTTATCACTTCCTCCGTTGTTCACAAAAGATGTTGTTACTCCCTTGGTTACCCCTGTCCAGTGCATATTGCTGGGTTTCATTGCAAAAAAGTTTGCTTCTAAACGTTGTCACAAAAAAGGGGATTTAAACAAGAACAACAAATCATCATACAGATGGCTTCTAAACCGTGGTGGTTGAGCTGAGCGAGACTCCACTCGGCAGGAACTTCCCCTGAAGGAGTGTGGAGGTGAAAACAAACAAAGAATATGCTTTTTAAGACTCTTACTGATTAGTAAAATGATAGCTCTGGACATTTCCTGTCCTGAAATATGCCACCTTGACAAGTTTAAGTAAATCAAGCTGAAAGTATTTCGTGGATGGCTGCACCTATAAAGTAATAACTGGCTTCTGGCTCCTTTACAGAGTTCTGGTTGTGCGAAGAAGAAAGTTCTTGTTGCCCGAGTAAGTAGCATTCTTTCTTTTCGTTTTTCTTTAAGGACAAAGTAAAACAGCTTGGCTATTTGCTCTTTGGGTGAATTTATGTTAAAGGAAGTATATAGATGAATAAAAAGACATGAAATTCATGCTGCGAGGTATAGGGCAGCTCAGAGTCCTGTTCTTCAGGAAGCACATACAGAGTTGGTCCAAGCTACAGGTAAAATCAAATGAATGTCACAAAACCAGAGGACAGCTAAAATTTTAGTGGAAGAAATGTAGAATAATGAAGTAAGAATGAGTAATGTTTCTAATTCATACTGCTCAGCATGTTGTGGAGGAGGTATGGATATGGGTATCGTATAGTTTCAAATCAGACAAACTGTGCATATAAGCTTTTATTTTATAAGGCTTTCCCACTCAATGTGTGCATTAAAGGGTCTGGAGTTGTCAGGAACACATAATAAGTTAAAAAAAAAGAAGACCTGTCACTGTTCATAGAGTTTTAGTCTCCTGATGCCTTTGTTTTTACAGGATACATCACATGTTTTGAGCAGAAGAGCCTACGATGCACAGGTAAACCATTGTTGTCACTTTTTCTGCTGGTGTTACAGCTCCTTGGTGGATTACCTACAAAAAAGAAGAAGAAGGATCTAATTCCCACAACAGAGTATTCTAGTTAGGGTTAGGTAGTTTTTTTCCCAATAGAACCAAGTATTTTCACTTATTACCCTTACAGAAAAATGAGTCGTTTCTTGTTTCCTCACAGAATGAGTCTTCTACTTCAAATAGCAGCCACAGTAACCCCCAGGTAATAACAGTGTCTATTGCATGATATCATTGCAAAGGCTTTTCTGAGAAATCTAATTTTCATTCCTGAAAATTAGATTCCACTCCCTGATCTGTGCTGAAGGATCCTAATTTGATTTGGCAGCATTTTCCCTATAATGTTATGATTTTGCAGTTGTAAATAATTACAATGGGGCCAGAATATATTTGTCTGCTCATTCCTTCACTGAGCAGGTAAGCGTTGCAGGTGTTTCTTTTCATAGTTTTCTGTAGAAGTTGCTTGTAAAACACAAAAGAAACAGGTTTAGAATCCTTATTTTTTTAGTTAGAATTTGGTAATGAGGTACATCTTAGTGATGTACCTCCTTTTGTAGCCTTCTGTTACAAAAGTGGGTCCAACTTTCCCATTGTGTGGACTTACGTACTGCTGCAGCAGCCTGTATGTTATAGAATTATGTGGAATTTAACTGATCCAGAGTGACACCTGATTCTGTTTTTCTTAAGATTTTATACTGTGTTGGTACCCATCAGCTTTCCAGAGACCTGGAATCCCACTATGCCCAGCATTAGATGCAACACTAGCATAATCCTCTGTCTTTGAGACTTTGAATCCTAATTCAGTAGTACAGTCAGATCTCTGAGCTCCAGGAGTGATAGTTTTCTTCATTAATTTTCCTGATAGCCATTCCCTGTGTATTGTATCCAGTCACTAACTAAGTTTCTTCCAAAGTGATATTTTCACAAGGATTCATAGAATTCTGAATAGACTCTGTTGGTTCAGGGAAGTAGCATAAAGTTTGTCACTTCCTTCACACTACATCATTTTAGACATGTTAGATTCTGATCAAATGCTTCTATAAAACATAATTGGATTCTTCACAGGGTGGATCATTTATTGCAACCCGTGGATCAAGTCAGGTCAGGATTTTCACTATTTTTATGTAGTTTTATCCAAATAGCTTCCTGGTAATTGAAATCATTAAATTCAGGAGTCAGCTGAGTCATTTTGCATGGGGGATTGGTGATGTTATGCACTGAGTTGTGAATGAAGTGACCCTGAGCAGATGACATTTATCCAAAATGCCTCTCCCAAAGCACTTTGTAACACTGCTTCAATCCACACGTGGTTTATGGGTGAGAACACAGTGGTGATTCTCTGGACTGTTGACTACCCAGACAATTCTCCCTTCATGAGGCATCTGCAGGGGCATAGCACTGAGAGACGTAGCATCAGCCTAGCTTCCAAAGCAAATGTCACAGGTCTAGAGCTGTGCTGTCCCCTCATTTCTTCTAGACATAGGAACAGTCACAGCTACTCTGTAGTCCCACAGTCTTTATTCCCCCAAACACAGTTTCACATCTGAAATAAGATTTTCTTTTAAACTTCCACAATCAATAATTATTTCTTTTTTTGTTTTTAATTTACAGGGTGGTTGTGTTTGCCCTGATGGCAGCAGTGGTTACAGACAGGTAATTCTTTTTCTGAGTTTATCCTTTCATCTACATAACGGAGTATTGTGAATTAATTGCCTAGTAAGTATGGACGACATACTTACCCAGTAGTCGTGTTGAGTAATGCTAAACATTACGGGTAATTTTCTTAGTATAGATAGAATGATATACAATGAAAGCAATGGTTTGGGTTGAAGGGACCTTAAAGCTCACCCAGTTCCAACCCCACCTCACACTGGAGCAGGTTGCTCCAAGCCCCTGTGTCCAACCTGGCCTTGAACACTGCCAGGGATGGGGCAGCCACAGCTTCTCTGGGCACCCTGTGCCAGTGCCTCAGCACCCTCCCGGGGAAGAGCTTCTGCCTTAGATCTAACCTGAACTTCCCCTGTTCCAGTTTGAACCCATCACCCCTTGTCCTATCACTCCAGTCCCTGATGAAGGTCCCACTTTAACTGCACAATTACCCTTCGGCCACTAACTTTTTGTGGCTGTGCTTGGTAATCCAGATGCTCTGTCAGTTGACTGCTACGTGCTCATCATTCATTACTTTCAAAATCCAGAGTCAATATGCTCTGCAGTAGCCACAGAATTTAATCCCATCCGTTCTAGGCTTCTTGTCCTTCTCACAGATGCAATAAAATTGTGAGTAAGATGTCAAGACCTGATAAATATTTCAAAAGATAATCTCTTAATATTTAAACTCTCTTTTCCCATTAAGAGAGTCACTGCAATTTCCTGGTCAGTGGCTCTGGATAAACTTTTCTCCTAGGCAATGCTTTCCTGCTAGGATAAAGCCCAAGGAATGCAATTACATGGGCATTAGAGACTCGTTTTACTCAACTTCTAGCTTGGATTACAACAACTTGGATTCTAAAGTCACCTACATTGTACCTAATAACAGTTTTTAAAGCTTTTCTTGAAGCTGTATTTCCACAAACCCATTTGAATGGTGTAATATTTTTGTAGTTTTCAAGTTCAACAAGAACCATATTGTGGCTTATTATTTCTATAAAGAGCATGCCTTATTCAAACAAACCATGTAAAGAAATTACTGCTTCCTGAACTGAACTGTCATTAACGTCAGCATAGAGCAATAGTAATTTTGGTCAGGTAATAAAATACTGCCTCTTTCATATGATTGAGGCTCAGCAGCAATCAAGACCTACATGTTTTAAAATAGAGACTTTTCTACTGCAATACTTAATATTGAAGCTTCATCAAAGAAAAACTTTGTGTTGTGTGATTGTAAAGCTGTAGGACCAAATCCATTGTCCACAAAGGTGGACATCTCTATGCAAGTTTTCATTCTAACAGGGCCTTTTTCTTTGCATGCTGGAGTAGTCAAAGCTATACATACTTAAACCATCTTGTGTCAAAGGAAACAATGGGTTTGCCTTATGTGGATCCTCAAATTCCTCCTTAAAGCCTGTTTACAGTTTTCTAAAACATGATAAGGATCATCTATAAGAACACAGAGTCTGCCAGGTGTGACACAGGATTCTGGGGTTGGAAAGGATAAAACGAGAAGTTACTGTGAGCTCTTTTAACGTGAATGAGGAAGTACCTGGTAAAGGTTTTTGTGTATCTAACAAAATAGCCAGTGTTCTCTTCTAACAGTTGCAGTAGTGTCCTCTTTGAAAGCTATATATTGAAAGAACAAAAACTCAGAAATGGACTCGCTCACTCAAATGTCTGTTTGCAGGAAAATAGCTAGTGTGTGTTTTCATTGCAGGGAGCCCCAGGTTCTTCACACAGCACATATTCTGGTAACCAGGTAAACATGCAGCTAAATTGCCCTGTTCAGAAGCTCCATCTAAAACCTTCCCTGAAGAAGTAGCCAAATATAAACCATTAACCCATTCTGTCTTCTGCACAGGGAGGGCCTTCCTTCTATCCTGGAGGATCCTCTGGACAGGTAGCTGTTCTTCCTCCCTTACCAGGATAACACAGGTTCCCATCGTCCTGGTTCCTTCACTCCTGATGTTGTGGGTGCTGTCACATACGCTCGTTATGGTTGTTTCAGAGCAGACAACTTGCATTAAACCTGCTGTAGCCAAGTGGTGTGAGGTTTGACAGAGAACAGCACAGAATGGAATCTGCAGGTTCCTTGCACAATTCAGATTTTAGCAGGCCAGGAAAGTTAGCACCAGAAGATTTCTTCCACTTTAACACTATTGGACTTGAGTTTTACTTAGGTACACAAAAGTTAGCTCAAAACTGGGAGGAAGGGCATAAAGTGAGAAATAGATACCCTGGTGTTTAAATACTCTTCATGTCTGCAAGAAAATAGCTCATGTTTGTTTTCCTTACAGGATGGCCAAGGTTCTTCCTACAGCTCTTACTCCGGTAACCAGGTAAACCTTGTGGCCACTGTGCCTGCACCGGAGCAGCCTAAAAGTCCTCCTTGGGAGAACATTGCAACTACAAACGAGTAATTTTGAATGTCTTCTCTGCAGGGTGGTTCTTCCTCCTCTCCTGGTGGATCTTACGGACAGGTGAGTGTTCCTCCTCATTTGACATGGTAACGGAGGCTTCTGTTGTTCTCATTCCTGCATTCCCAGTGCAGCGGCTGTTGTGAAATGTAGCACCCAAGAATTGAATTGACCATTTGTAATTTGCACCATGAAGCCCATCAGAGGAAAATACTAAATTGTGTTTACAACTTCCATGAAATGATCTTTCATCCAGATAAGAAAATCAGTGATAACAAGATCCTTGTTCTTTAACGCTACTGGCCTGAAGTGAGGGTCAGGTCCATTGCTACTTACATGATCCTGTTTGCAGGAAAATAGCTAGTGTGTGTTTTCATTGCAGGGAGCCCCAGGTTCTTCACACAGCACATATTCTGGTAACCAGGTAAACATGCAGCTAAATTGCCCTGTTCAGAAGCTCCATCTAAAACCTTCCCTGAAGAAGTAGCCAAATATAAACCATTAACCCATTCTGTCTTCTGCACAGGGAGGGCCTTCCTTCTATCCTGGAGGATCCTCTGGACAGGTAGCTGTTCTTCCTCCCTTACCAGGATAACACAGGTTCCCATTGTCCTGGTTCCTCCACTCCTGATGTTTTGGGTGCTGTCACATACGCTCGTTATGGTTGTTTCAGAGCAGACAACTTGCATTAAACCTGCTGTAGCCAAGTGGTGTGAGGTTTGACAGAGAACAGCACAGAATGGAATCTGCAGGTTCCTTGCACAATTCAGATTTTAGCAGGCCAGGAAAGTTAGCACCAGAAGATTTCTTCCACTTTAACACTATTGGACTTGAGTTTTACTTAGGTACACAAAAGTTAGCTCAAAACTGGGAGGAAGGGCATAAAGTGAGAAATAGATACCCTGGTGTTTAAATACTCTTCATGTCTGCAAGTAAATAGCTCATGTTTGTTTTCCTTACAGGATGGCCAAGGTTCTTCCTACAGCTCTTACTCCGGTAACCAGGTAAACCTTGTGGCCACTGTGCCTGCACAGGAGCAGCCCAAAAATCCTCCTTGAGAGAACATTGCAACTACAAACGAGTAATTTTGAATGTCTTCTCTGCAGGGTGGTTCTTCCTCCTCTCCTGGTGGATCTTACGGACAGGTGAGTGTTCCTCCTCATTTGACATGGTAACGGAGGCTTCTGTTGTTCTCATTCCTGCATTCCCAGTGCAGCGGCTGTTGTGAAATGTAGCCTGTACAGGGCGCATCTTCTGCCTATGACAGCAACGGTGAATCCTATGGTCAGGTAAAGAGTGGATCTTTCTGTGTAAACAGGGTGCTGAGGACTCCTGTATTTAGCTGTAGTCTCTATTTTGGCTCTCACTCTTTTTTAATGGGCATGGCTTTTTTCTTTGTGGAGTGAGATTTGCATCTACTTTTAACTAAGTAGCCTTAAAACTTACATGGGAGTAAAAAGCAGGATGCCTCCAACCATGAAAGCTTGTTCTCCTCAACAAAAATAGCTTTGAATCATCTGCAAGATGAAGGTCTCTCTGAAAGTAGAAATAGAATTTGAGTTTAAAATATGCCAAAGGAGTGGTTACAGGGACATAACCGAGTTGCTCAGTAGCCATCCTGATTAAGTAAATACTCACATTTTTGAAGTCTCCCTACAGGAAGCATCAAAGTATTTAATTTTCTTCTTAACAAAAGTCTGTTTGCAATATGAAAATGATTTACATGTTCTAAACAGGTTGGATCTTCCACATACAGTGGTGCTGGATCTTATGGCCAGGTAAATGTTATTTGTCTTATACATTCAAAGCTTAAGCTCTCTGTGTTGGTTCTTCTGTGCACTGGGTTCTGTATCTCCGTTGTTTTGAAGTGATGCCCATGGAAATGCCACTTTACTTTTTGCTTGCTTCTCCTTGTGTTTACCCCTGTACCACTCCAAACGTTCCCATAATGGAGGGATGTGATGCACTGTAAACACTCTCCTGCTAACTTTGCCACTGTGACTATCCAATGCTTTAACTATTTGATTGTTTATCCATCAGCTCCTTCACAAATAAGGTATTTTGTGCATTTACTTGACTTTGGCAGAAGCTGTTGCAAGCCTAGAAGCGAGCACATGCTATATTTGAAGTCCATCTTTATGAATGTGAATGTCATTGTGGGTTCACTTTGTTGGGACTATCTTAGGCTTCGTTTAGCAGCACGTTTTAACCAGCCCAAGTCATTCCTAATTATTCAGTAAAACTAATAAGACATATAATCCTGATTGCATTTTCATAGCTGTGCTGCTAATTGTAGAGCAGGTTCTAGAAATAAAGCATTGTTAGTGGAATTTCTGATTATAAAGAATGGTTCATTTTGCAAATCAACTTTATCCAAAATTATTCCCTATAAAAACACACGTTTACAAGGAAAGTTGGGATTTTTTAACCTCTGTGGCCTAAGCAACAGGTGAAGTTACATATTTGTTCCTTTTCTTATGCATCCCCTGGTTTAGGTAAAATAGGAAATTCTAAGTGGCTGGTTATTCTTATTCTTCTAGTTTATACCATCCACAAGCAAGATCATGTGAGAGTCCTTTTTATATGAAAAGAAATGTTTTTCTTTATTTTACAGGATTCATCTTCCATAGGAGGCGGTGACAGTAACAACGTAAGTGTTTCTTCTCAAGTACAGCAATATCAGAATCTGCTACCTCTTTAAGTATCTAGGTGCTTACCTGGACCTTTACCTTATCTCATCATCTTACCTTCAAGAGCTCCTTCCCAACACATTCTAATCTTCTGTGTTGGTCAGTAGTTTTCTGCAGGAACTTACTTGAAATGTTGGGGGTTTTTGTAGAGATGAAGGAAAACAGATTTAAATGATGTCACATTTTGTGCTATGGCATGATAAGGACTTGGCAAATTAAAACTGCATTTACAACAGTTCTGATTTGCAGCTATCAGGATTTTTTGGAAGTCATTATTAGAAGTAGCATTTACAAAGGAAGCTCTTTTCCTTTTATTTCAGGATTTCCATTGAGACTCCGTATTAGTGAATGCTCATGGTACAGAACCAGAGACTTCCAGCAATTTAATTGGGCTACTTTTTCACTGAGTTTATTTAATAACACTCATTTAACTACAGGAACAGCATTATCAATATGTCAGATCAGCCATTCTTGTTCTTAAGGGTTGTATTTTGTGATTTATTTCCTTAAGAGTATATGCCATTTATGTTTACTGCTCTGGACTCTCAACAGTTCCCCCACATTAAGGCTTTCAAACATAATTGCTCTTGAAATACAGATTTATTTAATAATTCAACTTTTCCTTGGGGCTCTTTTTTTACCCTTAATCATTTTCCCATTTTATTCTTTTTCTACAATACAACTTCCCCTATCAATCCTGCACAGCCTATCTCCCACCCTTTCCATCTCCAATTCACATTACACTTCATTTGTGCTTTTCCAATGCCGGACATCTAACATTCACCTTCATCTCTATGTTGCATAGGAATGGTCCCTTCTCATGTAGTGTGGTGAGAGCTGCTTGCTTTTCTGCTTAAGAACATGCCTTTTCTCCTGACTAAAGTATATTCCCTATTAATTCTGGTGGAGCTGTTTCTAGAACTTAGTAGGTTTAAAGTCTCATTTTCTCACAGTTTAACTGTATTTCCAACAACTGTTTTCCAGTGTCCTGCTTAGTAGGAAATTGTTCTCTAAAACTTCAGCTGTGCATTTCAGCCAGAAGTACAGGGTGTCATTAGTTTCCACAGTGTCTTTATCAAAATCCTCTTGTGGATATTCAACAAAGCTAAAATATGATATCACAGAGGGCCCCAAGGCCTTCTGAAGGAAACAGTGGTATGAAATAAACTAAGCTATAACAACACTGGTGTGTTCCACTGAGCTCTTCCAGGAACCAGGACAGCTTTTAAAGCGCTGCTGTTTTCCACTGTAGCATCCTCAGAGGAAATAACATAGTTTGAGATGTGATCTCGTTCCTTCACTCTGCTATATGAGGATTCTGCTTTCCAAGGAAATGCCATTCTCTAGAAATGAGCAGAGAAAGAACTTGGAGAACTGCTGCTCACCCTACAGCCTGCGTCTTTACCCTTCCCAACAAGCAGTGGTGTCCGTTGCCTTCCAGCTTATTGCTTAGAGAAAAACAGAACTATTTGCTGTGCAGTAACTAGATTCTATCACCTTTTAGGGCTCCAGCTCACTATCTGGCAGCCAGCAGAGCGAACGGGTAAGTTCTCCTTCCTTACTCTTGCCAGAGTGCCTGCCCCAGGCCCTGGCAACTCCTCGCCACCTAAACTACAGCTTGTGTGGGACAGAAAAGTCCCGCAAGCACAGAGGGAATGAGGATGTGGCTAAAGCGCTGCTAGAAATCCCAGCTGATGCTGAGGTGAATCTCTAACATTACAAACCACGGTACCACAATTTACTTGTTCAGGTTCCTGCACTTTTTTACTCATTACCTGAATGCAAAAGGCTTCAATACCCTGATTTGTCCAGCATTTATTCTAAGTGTAGCCCTTTGCTGTAATGTGCTGTATTACTCGCTTCTGCCAGCTTCCATTTTCCTGTCCTTTTTACATGGCACACATTCTGTTTGTTCTAATGAGAATTAAATGACACAGACTGAGAAATTACTTTGCTGGAGATATAAGAACTCTTTAATCATTGTATCCAAAAGAATATCTTTCACTAAAGGAGCAATTGTCAACAGGCATAAAGGAACATGTGCTGTGTTAAACAGAAAGACCTTTTTTGTTGTTCTTAAGCAATCCATGAGAAAAAAGTAAGGAATATGGAGAAATTCAGCTTCCATCCTGATCTTTCCAGGCTTGGCTTTTTTTGGTTTTTTTTCATGTAATTTCAATGCATTTTTCCAGGATTTTTATTCCCCAGGAGGCAGCCAGTCAGGTGGACATGTAAGCATCTATTTTATTCCTTATTTGAAGTTCCCTTCCAAAATGGCTGTTCTATTTCAATTAGCCTGATGAGTAAATGATACCCAACTGTTTATCTCCTAGAATTTCTCATGACATCTGGCATCATGTCTTGTAAAACCAAATGGCAAACTGTTTTTAAAAGAATAATGATTAAAAGAGTAACGAAATGTGTGTAAGACACAAAATAGTCTTGTTTTCCAAAAGCTACTGGGAACAAAAATAAATTGGGTCTACTTTTTGCAGGGCTCATCCTCTCAAAGTGGGGGCTACTCCAGTGGACAGGTAAATACTAACTCTTTGTATTTGTGACCCCAAGTATCTGTTATACAAAAGCTTGAGGCCTCATATTGTGTTACAACAATCTTGTATCTGGGAGCAAGATTCGTTTGGTACTCAAACACCTTTTCCTTATGTATCTCAACTTAAAAGGCCAAGTGTAAGGAGAGTGGTCAGAACACAATTCATGTATCAACTGATGTTCTAACACCAGGAAGAAGGGAAAAGAAGAAATATTGGATATTAATTTGTATTTCTGACAATTAAGTTATTTTAACTGTTTTCAGGACTTGTCCTCATCTGGAAGCAGCCAGTATAGTGGGCAGGTGGGAAACTTCTCTTCATTGGTGGTTTGGTTTTGGTTGGGGGTTTTGGGGTTGGTATTTTGGGGGGGGGTTGTGGGTTTTTTTGTCATTGTTGGGTTTTGGTTGGTTGGGGTTTTTGTGGGTTTTGTTTGAGGTTTTGGGGGTTTTGTTTGATTGTTTTTTCCCCCCAATGTACACGTATCAAGAAACCATGACCAGATTGGCAGTACCTAAGTTTCCAGATTACTGTGGGGTTTTTTATCCTCATTAATCTTTCTGTAGACAAAACTGGGTTCATAACCAGATAGATCTTGTCAAAAACACTTTAGAGAGTAAAAGACAATCGGTGGTAAATCAAACGGACATGTCAAACTTAGAGGAAGTCTTTTAAATGAGAATGTAACATTTGCAGGGTCCAAGTTCTTCAGGAGGCAGCCAGTACGGTGGACAGGTACACCACACAGTTCACTTGTGCTGCTGGCAGGCACTCACAATTTACTTTCCCTATCTTTCCTACAGAAGAACTGTGTTCTGCCAGCACTGTCCTTTTTGCCTAAAGCCTCAGCAATGTCATATTCTTATTCCATGTCATTCAGACATCCTGCAGGCCAGAGAAGCCAGTAGTGACTGAGTGGCTGTTGGATTGGAACTTCTACCCCTGCTTTGTTGCTTTGTGTTTGTCTTCTTATGCATTTCATGCAGGTTGAATGTAGGAAGTGGGACACTTAATGGTGAACTCCTGGCTGCCCCTCAGTTAGTTTTATCAGAGTAGAAATCCCCTGTTTCTGTGTGGAAAAGGAAAATGGCTCCCTGTAGGATGACTTGGAATGTTTTACTTGTCCTTTTGGTGGGTAAGGTTCTGAAGGTAAAGATTGTAGATAATAAATGGGAAGATAACTGTATTAGAAGTTTTCACCCCATCAAAGCAGTAAGTGTGGGAATAGTTGCATAGGATGAAGAGAACAGGAAACAGATTCATTTCTAGAAGATGGGAACTTGGACAGTTATTAATGTAACTTTCTGGTGTCTGTACCTGGGATGGTAGAAGTAGTCACCTGAGTTGTGACTGGGGTCCCTTTCAGACCTGTGCTCCTGGTAAATATGTTCTGCATTCTTTACAGGGTGGATGTGATTGTTCTGGGGCAAGTTCTGTAAGTGTTATTTTTTATTATCTATTTTCTTTTACTAAATTATTTAACTGGAAAATTATCTGTGGTCCTACTTATGTCTAAGTTATTTATTTTAATGTACTCTTAATTTTACAGTCATTGCTCCTTTGGTGACTTACATATTACTGACAGTCTAGGAGTTATTTCTCAAGATGAAGAATTAGGAATTATAGAATCGTTTAGGTTGGAAAAGACATTTAAGCTCATCCAGTCCAACCATAAAACTAACACTGCCAAGGCCACCACTAACCCCTGGCACTGAGGCCTCGTCTACCCGGGGTGTGAACACTGGCAGGGACGGTGACTCCAGCCCTGCCCTGGGCAGCCTGTTCCAATGCCTGAGCACCCTCTGGGCAAGGAATTGTTCCTCAGCTCCAGCTAAACCTGCCCTGGGGCAGCTTGAAGCCGGTTCCTCTTGTCCCATCCCTTGTTCCTTGGGAGCAGAGACCAGCCCCCTCCTGGCTCCATCCTCCTGTCAGGCAGTTGCAGAGAGCGATAAGGTCCCCCCTGAGCCTTCTCTTCTCCACACTAAACCCCCCAGGTCCCTCAGCCCTTCCCCATCACACTTGTGCTCCAGGCCCTGCACCAGCTCCGGTGCCCTTCTCTGGCCCCGCTCCAGCACCTCAATGTCTCTCTTGCAGTGAGGGGCCCAGAACTGACACAGGATCCGAGGTGCAGCCTCACCAGTGGCCAGCACAGGGGGACAGAGTGCATTAAATAGCAGAATTAATTGTCAAAAGATCCATCATGAAGAAAGTTAAAATAATATCAGATCTACAAAAGTGCCAACCATTAAAAGCTGTCTCAGAAATCTGTGTTTACCAAATTTAAAAAACAAAAACAGAACAAGAAAACAACAACAAAAATCCTGAGCCACTTCTCATTTGTGCTTTTGGCTCCATATGAAATTATTTAGCCTGTGGTCAATCAACATCTAGTGTGTAAAGGACATTCCTGCACTTTGGGCAGCATCCTCATTCGCTGTGCAATGAGTCTTGGGTAGGTACAAGATGATTCTTTGTGGCTCATGCGCTTCCAGACCAAAAAGACTACTTGCTACCTTGGCAAATTAAGAAACCTAAGTGAGGTGTGAGTGTAGTTTAATTCCAGGCTGGGATATTCCTCCTTTAGAATGCCACAGAACAGCCATCCTAAGGGTTTATTTCATTTTCAGTTTAAGATCAAAGACAATGGCTATGTTTCTCTTTTTCTCCCCTATCCCACCTCCCCCTTCCAGGGTGGATCCCCTGCCTTAGTCAGGAGTGATACCTCTGCAAATGTAAGCAATATTCATCAGCTTTTAAGTGTGCCCTGGTTTGGTTTTGTCAATATAATGGCTAGAGAAGTTACAAAGAGTCAGTACCTAATAGAAGTCCTATGCTTGTGAAAATAACCTACCTTAGGTACAACTAAAAGTAGACACAGGACATTCATGCAATGCTCACAGTTCCTCTTTCCATTTGAAATGGTATCCATTCAAAGAGAAGTCTTTGAATGAAGATGTTGTTTGGCACAAACACAGATATACAACAATATTTATTTTGGGACTTAGTTCCATTGGCTTCCTTGGAATTGTGTCAAAATATCCCCAAGGACCTGGATTTGTGTGTTTGTATTCTTGTTAGATAATTTACTAGAAGAAAGACTAGTTTTCATAGGTAGGAATCTTAATTTATCTTGCATGGATAAGAGCAATTTTGCAGGAGAGACCTGTTTAGAGCATTCCCAAGACCGGTTCTGTTCATCATGTGTTAGAAGTTATGCAGGATCTGCCACTGGAGCTCTGTGTGTACTGCACTAAAGGGGGAAAAACCACTTGGGTCTTTTTGTGTTTGGCACAGAGCTCTGGGCATTACCAGACTGCTAACCCATACAGAGCTGGCTTGGACACAGCGACATGAATGTACCAGACAAAACACAGTATTACATGAGAAACAGGACTGCTCCCTTGAAGGAAGGAGGAATCTATTGCTCAGGAAGATATTCTTACCCACCTGTATTCTATATACTTCATCTAATTGATTCTGGGATTTGTTTCCTTTGAAACTCCCAACTGGGACTGGGGTTTTTTGTTTTGTTTTTACTGGCTTGGCCATCTTTGGACATCAGTTTGTAATCAGGGATATTGTGTACAAAGATTGAGGGAACATGGTAATTGTGTCTACACCCGCAAGTACTGCAGGCTGCTAGGACAGTTGCACCCTACAGAGTGAAGCAACCAGTGCTGAGGAATTGATGGCCACACTATGTACATTTCGGGAATGGTTTGCTCTGGTCTGGTCCCATGGATCAAAAGTCCATTTACTACATGAACGAGTGAAGTATTCCCCTAGAAAGCATTCTACAACTTAGAGTAACCTCAAAAGCACCCAATTAATTCACTCCAAGACTCCATGTCATTTGTTTTGCATCCTGGAGGTGTTCAAGGCCAGGCTGGACAGAGCCTTGGGTGACATAGTTTAGTGTGTGGTGTCCCTGCTCATGGCAAGGGGGTTGGAACTAGATGATCTTAAGGTCCTTTCCAACCCTAACTATTCTATGATTCTATGGAGTGGGGACTACCTCCAAGCACACAACTGATCTCTCTTCTAGTGCATTGATGCACCCAGCACCTCAGCGTGGGAGAATGGCTTTTGCATACTGAATATAGATCTTGGGTCTCCCCCAAATATATGTTCCAGTCCATCTCAGAGCATTGTCTTTAGTATCTTCTTCACAGGCCAGCCAATAAGCCATTTTTTACACAGTTATGATTCCCAGTGAAGGCCACATTTCTGACAGATGCTTAACATTATGCACCAAACACAAACCAGTTTCATGTCTTTATGAGCTCAGCAGCTCTGGTGGAAGCTCAGAGCACTCAAAAGCTCTGTAGGACTCTGCAAGGATGACCTTTAAAAGCTTTTTGTGGGGACATCATTCTTCAGTGTGATTCTTAAATGCAAAGAGAGAAGCTGCTTATCCTTCAGTCAGAGTCTTTGAATTTCCTTTCTGAAAGGGCTCTGGAGGCATCCATCCTGGTGGAGAGGTCCACAGGAACAATGAGCTGTATTCACAAAGCAGGGAAGGCTGGATCTTCTATTCTGAGTAGATTTTAAACCCAAGCAACTCAAAATTAAAATAGGGATTTATAAACTGCTGTCTTTCAAGAAGTTTTGCTTTGAAATAGTTCTGTTGTTAGAGAAAAATAACTGGTTTCTCTGCTTTTCTTTCTTTTTCCTTTCTTTTTTTCCCTCCCCAGGGCTCATCTTCTTCTGGAGGCAGCCAGTACAGTGGCCAAGTAAGCACTCATTCCAAAAGGAGAGCCAGCTTGTGATGGTCATTCACAAACTCAATTCAGTTTTGATATGGGTACTAGGTTTATAGAGCAAAACCTGAGCAAATGAAATTCAGCCTAGAATTCAGTATGTCCCAAAGATTAGACATGATGGCTTTTTGAGCAAATAGTGCCCTTGCTTTTGTGAAACTTGCACAATGAAGCTCACACAAAACGCAGGTGTGGGTAAAGAACGAATCAAAATGTAGCATTTTTGATTCCTAGGGGACCTAATTCCATTAAGAAGAATAAAAGATCCAATCTCCCCTCTTTAAAGAGACCTCTTGTTGTGTGGGGGTCCAGTGAACTTGCTCAGTTTGGTTTTCAGAGACCTGTTAGGCAATTGGTGCTGGTAGCTTTGGCCCAGGATTCTGCTTTCCAAATAGAGAAATGCCTTACTCCAGAAACGAGCAGAGAAAGAACTTTACTCTTCCCAACAAGCCACACACAAACAAAGTAGCAGGGCTTTTGCATTCCACCCTTGCTTAGGAACTTGGGTGTTCTCCCAAGGCACCTTGCGAGGCTTGAACTCTAGTTGTTAAATCATACTGCAAGTCCTGCTTCACGCTTACCTTGCTCCTGTTGTCCCGGGACAGTCATGTTTTGATTTAAGGAAATCCCACAGCAGGGAACTCACTAAGTTGGTACTTCTTACAGGATTCGTACTCCTCTGGAGCTAGCCAGTATGGTGGACAGGTAAGCTCCTCCTTTCATATTTGATGTGATATGTTTGGTTTACCATTATTTGCCTCTAGTCAAGTAGAGGGTTAGCCAGGTAGCTATCTCAATGCTCCAAGGAACTTGATAATGATCTATTCTCTGTAGTAATATTGTGAATTCAAGAAATACAGAGTTTATTCTGGGAAGGCTACAGTCAAATAACAAAATACAGATGTCTTTGACACTCACCTCCATGAATCAGGTATTCACAAATAACTGGGTTTCAATATATTTCTAGGGCCCATCTTCTTATGGAGGCAGCCAGTATGGAGGGCAGGTGAGCACTGATAGTCCCCACTTCTGTACTCCTGACCTATGCAAGCTTGCAGTGTTTTCCTTGTCTACTTGACTCATCTTAGTCTAAAATCTTCTCAAGAAATCTTTGTAGCATTCTGTGCTACTGTGATCAAACAAAACCATCTCAGCTGAAGAGCATTATTTAAGACTAAGAAAAACTTGAATGTGAAATACGTGGCTGATTTAATTGGCTCTTGACATTTGCAGGATTAGAGGTCATGTCTTTCAGAAATAAACTCATGAGGCTGACCAAAACTTTTCAAAGCCTCATGAATTGATTCTATGATTCTGTGAAATGGGTGTAAAGAAGTTTCAGTTCCCTTTTCTCTTGATATTTAGGGGTCACCTTACTCAGGAGGCAGCCAGTATGGTGGACAGGTGAGAATCCTTCCGTTGTGGTGTCTGCTACTTTATCCAAGAGACTTGGTACTTCTCTGTGTAAAGGAACATTTTAAGGAGATCGGGTTCCCCTCCCCATCATGTTTTATTTAATGTGTTGCTAAACATATAGTAGTTATAAATGTATGTGATATAAAGCCACAGGAGAGCTTTTAGGAGATGTGATTTCTGCTGCATCATGGTAAATGCAGATGGGTCTCACTCCTTTTTGCACAGTCTGGTTCAGTCAGTTTTGCACTGAAGGAACTGGGTATCTCTCCTTCACGTGGAGCACTGTTTAGAGGAGCACTATGATATGGATATAGAGATTACTTAATTCTTTCTGTTCAGGGTTCATCTTACTCAGGAGGCAGCAGCCAGTATGGAGGACAGGTAAGAATCTCTTCCTGTGTAGTCCTTATTCTAACATCCATCTTCTACACAAAAACTTGGTACTTTTCTGTGGGCTGAAAATAATTGTGTTTTGAATAAAATCTGGTAAGAGATGATCAGGTATCTAAAGATACATGATCTCAAACAATATAGAAACTATGAAGGCCTAATACTTCTGTTGTATCACAGTAAATGCTGTTCTGGCCTTGTTCTACCCTCCAATATGCCTTCCTCATTCTGGGTCTGTTTCCCTTATCCTGACATTATGGATTCTTACCTCCAGCAGTAAGGAGTAGCTGGAAGCAGATTGCATTCCTTCTCTAACCTCAACCTGTGGAATACCTCATCCCTTCAGCAAAATGCAATGTCAGAGTTGACACCAGAGAAGCAGTGTGTCTCAGCAGGGGAATAGGGAGAAAGTCAGGAATTCCCAAGAGGTGTTCCATGCGCTTGTGAAATGAAAGGGTTCCTAGTGCTGCCTAATGGTATAGCCTTTAATATAGAGTAAAATCCCCAACAAACTCATCCTTAGCCTCTGAAAACATTCATTTTCAGATTTATTGGAGAAGAAATTAGAGGAGAAAGGTATTTTCAGCCCATATACAGCCTCCTGAAACTAGGTGTATAACCCTAATAGCTCATGATCAGTATTCTGGATGATCCACATGTTACAGACTCTCCCTAATTTGCACAGAACACATACACGGCTGGGTTGGGTGATTATCTTTCTGTAATCCTTCATTGTACAGCAGAGAAAGAAATAGTCTTTCTTTCAAAAACCCTTAAAGAAGCTTTTTAATAGAGAAATAATTGGTACCTTTGCTTCAGGGTCCATCTTCCTACGGCGGCAGTCAGTATGGAGGACAGGGGCAGGTACGGACTGGTCTTCTATTTATGGGTTGGCTTTTCAGTTGTTCATCTTTCTGGGGGTGAAAAACAGAGTATTTTATAATGGGTTGCTTATAGCAAAGCAGTGTTTAGGCAGAATACATGAATATATGACCTTCTGCTGTGTCAGCCCACTTGGGGAAGTAAAACACAGCCCATAAGCCAGCTCAGCAGCACTACTCACCCCTGCCTGAAGCTGCCTTTGATTGGAACTTGACTCTTCTGTTTAAACAGTAGCCATTGTAAAAGCCAATAGATTTCAGTGTGGTTACAAAGGAAGTGTTGGAATTCCT